ATGTGCACACACATATGTATGTGCCCAGGCACGCCACAGAGCACATGTTGAGATCAAAGGACAACTTAATAGAAGTACATTCCCTCCTTTTGCAAGGTGAGGTCCAGGGATCAAATTCAGGTGGTAGCCCGGGCTAGCCTTGAACTTGGGCTCCTTCTGCCTATGCTCCTGAATCCTGCAATACAGGTGCCACACCAGAAGGTGCTGTCAGTTTCACCGTCATCTTCAGCTGTGTTCTCCACCCTTGTCCAAGGCAGTGAGCACCACAGAGCAGTGTACGTGAGTGACTGCAATGCTCTTTACCAGCCAAATGCATTTGTTTGCTTCTCACAGTACACAGTAAGCGCCCTAGCGATGAAGATATGGCAGAACACTAAATGAATACAAATGAGTTGGCATCACACCCGGGCAAACTGCAGGCCCTGTGCCAAATCTGGGCCACCACCTGTCTTCATAAACACAGCTTGGCTTGGGGCACAGCCATACTCCTGTGGTTCTGTGGTGGTGGAGAGTTGAATAGTTACAAGAGAACACATTTTGAAGATGTGGCAGTTCCCCCTGAAGCACCCATCTTCCCCCAGATGTAGGCAACACTGTCCTAGCCCTCAAATCAGCTTCAGAAAACAATTGTTCCTGAGTCAAACCCACTCCAGAAGGCGGTCATTGAGAAGTGCCGGGTCTGTGCCTTCGCTGAGATGTGCTCCCTGCAGGACTTCTCTTTTTAGGCCATGGTGAGAGTCTAGGCAGCACACAGGTATAAACACACCCATTTACCACGTGGGGCTTTGATTTGTTCCTCTGGACTCAGAGGCTGAACGCTATGGTGAGCTCCGTAAGAGGTGGTTCAAGTGAAACTGAACTCTTTAATCTGCATGAAGGGATGTCAGCATTGTTGACCAGATACCCTACACTTGAAGGGTTTAGCTCCAGACACACTGCACTCAGGACCGTCCAACACCTGCCACTAGCTGCCACCTTTTTCTTTTTTAGTTTGTGATGCTGGGTACTAAACCCAAGCATTCTACCACTAAACTGTTGTTCTGGCCCCAGACACCTCCATCTCTAATCCCTGGCTAAGCTCCTGCCAGAGGTACATTATAGGCAGTTAATATTAGTGAAAGAATATGATGGGCATGTAGCCAACCACCACTCAAGGACTCAAGGTTCCCTTTTAAAAAGATTTGTGCATGCTTTCTTTCAAGTGTGTGTGCACCACATGTATGCCTAGTGAGCACAGAAACCAGAAGTCTTGGATTACCTGGAATTGGTGTTAACATTGTAGTTGTGAGCTACCATGCGGGTCAACCCAGGTCCTCTGGAAGGGCAACAAATCCTCTTAACCACTAAGCCATCTCTTCAGCCCCAAAGTTTTCTTTTTTTTAATTATTGTTATTTGTGTATGTATGTGTATGTGTATGCAAGTGTGCATGCAGATATGTGTACATACACACATGCACATGCATGACACAGCGTACATGTTGAAATCAAAGGACAAATTTTAGGAGACACCTCTCCTTTTGCCACATTTGGTCCCAGGGATCGAACTCAGGTAGTTGGGCTTGGTGGCATCCTGTACCTGACAAGCCATCATGCACTCCCCTCTCCAGGGTGTCTCAGTTTTATCTCTGGTTAAATAAAACACCAGGAAGCAACATAGCTAGATGTGAGTGAGGCCACACCTTGGCAGAGGCCTTCCCTGGCACTGTTGGCATGGGGGGGCTTGTTTTTTGATTTGTTGTTGTTGTTTTTTGAGACAGGGTTTCTCCGTAGCGTTGGAGCCTGTCCTGGAACTCACAGAGATCTGCCTGTCAGTGTCATCACTGCCTAGCCCTGGCACTGGCATTTAACCATCTTTTGAATGGTCTCCCTGACAAGTGGCTTCCTATAGGGTACAACTACATTGTCTGCAGAGCAGCTTAGGCAAGTAGGGAGTTCTGGCCTTTAGCGTTATGGAATTTGTCACCAGGAAGCGACTCTCAGCACCTGGCATCTTGCCTTCTTCATCCCCTAGAACTCTACAGTAAGCCACTCTAGCCTTTTGTTTTGTCTTGACTCCAGGAAGCTCCAGTTAAGTAAACTCTGTTCTGAAAGCCTCCATGTCTTCCTTCCTCCTCCAGACCCCTGGGCCTGTGTGGCCCCTTTTCCAGGTGTTTAGTCCATAAGCCCCGTGGCATGGTGGATTGGCCGGACTTTATGCTGTTGTACTAACACAGGAAGAAACACTGCTGTCTTGTGCTTCAAAGGAATGCACAAGAACAGGATCTACAGTTCTGCATTCACAGACCCAGGAGGGCGAGGACAGCTAGGACCAAAGGCAAGATGCAAAGTGAAGACCACTGACGGCTCCAGATATCTACACTCCTTCCCAAAGGCAGCTTTGGGAACTCTGCCACCAGGTGGGAACTGGGGCTGATGTCAACTCTGCAGTCCCTGGGCTACACAAAGAGGAGGCATTTCAGTAGCAAACAGAGATGACAGAAGCCAGGCCTAAATTGTCTTCCTGGGATTCTTGGGAATCTGGGATGAACAAGATTTCATCTTAGTAGAGGAGCCCAGGAGCTGATGTGGCGATGGGGGAGGCCCCGCCCAGGCCTGACACTCTGGGTGAAGGCCCATCAAATGGAGTCTCACTACAGAGCAGTGGTAAAGGATGGGACGAGGAGGGGGCTGGCATTTCCTCGCTCACCACAGAGCTATGGCTGGATCCTCACCTGATGTTACAAGGAAAAGTGTTTCAGAGAGCACTCAGCTGAATTGCCAGCTTGCTGGGGGGGGGGGGGGTCACCCTGGCTGATCTAGGAATTCTGCCTTCTGTTGCCAGGAAGGGGCTGGCAGGATCCCCAGGGTGAGTCGATGGGACTTACATAGACACATCTGTGGAAGTTTGGTATTTGTTGATAGGGACACATTTCCTGGGGTCAAAGGCTATATTAGTGGTGTCTTCTCAGGCTCTACAGGATAAAATATGGATCAAATAATCCAAGTTTTCCCTCCAGGCCTACCCAAAGGCTGAATTGGGGAGCTCTCCAGAAAAGGGGCCAGAGAAAGAGAGATATTAGTACAAATCTGGGGTGCAGCAGGATCAAGACACAGCCTTCTCTCCCTCACCCCACACCACTTACCCTCCCTGGCCCTGTTCCTGGGTGTGAAGACATCTCAGTCTGAAGTAGCTTCTGGACCCCAATGGTGACTGCAGTTATCTTCAATACCTCCGCTCCTGGTGCTGAGCCTTCCCCTACCATCAGTGGTGGACAGTTGACTTGGACGTGATGAACTGCAACCCAAAGACTCTTAGCAGAATTAACATTGCCAGGGGCTGGGAGCTGCATACAGAATGTGACTCTGGGTTATTTGCATGGATGGAGTTTCCTGTGAGGTCTCCTCCTCCTCTTCCAAGCCAAGAATGTTGCCTTCTTGGCCTTCCTTGTGAGAGAAGCCCTTCTCGTAACCACAGGATTCCAGCAATACCCATGCCAGCCCCCACCTATGGCCAGGATGTCCACCCCCCAGCCCTATGCAGTGTCAGAGTGTACTCCCTCCCATGGGCAGGTTGGAGACAGACACAGACATTACAATTCAATGTGTGAAGCAGGTATGCAAGAGTGAGTGAAGTTCTGCTTCACTCATGCAGGAGACAGGAAATCCCCAGAGCAAATGGGCATCTGGAAGGAATTTTCTTGGTATAGATAGAAGAGATAGCATAGAGGCCTAGAGTACTTGCTGTTCTTCCAGAGGATCGGAATTTGGTTCCCAACACCCACACTGAACCCACTAAAAACCACGTATAACTCTAGGGGATTTGACTCCCTCTTCCGGTCTCCACAGATACTCACACTCACACATACATAGATACATACACATTCAAAAAAATTATTTCTCTTAAGGAAAAAAAAAGCATAGAAAATGTTACTCTTTTATTATTTCAAGGAGGTAATACATAGCCCAGTACACCAAAGCAATAGGGAATTAGAGGCAGAGAATGGCCAGTGGTTTGGGGAGGAGCCTCATGCTGGTCTCCAAGCTCCCATCTTCCTGCTCACAAGAAGGCTGGGACAGTGACAGGAACTGTGACTGTAGCAGTGGATGGATGACCAAACTCAGCATCCTGCCAACTGTAAGGGCTGGCACAGAGGCAGCTCCAGGATTTGGTACGCTGGCAGTGCTTGCCCTACGCCCCAGGCCACTGTCCCCACAGCAGCCAGCTTGCCTAGCACTTGATTCTGTCTCAGTGAGCCTGGAGTGGGCAGGGCAGGGACAAATCCTGAGCATCAGTTAAGATGAACGCCTTAGTAGTGTTAATACTCTGGATGAGAAAAGAAAGACAACACTGGGGGGGGGGGGGGGGGGGGGGGGAGAAGACCGGGCAGAAGGAAGCTGGGCTGCAGCACTCCCGGAGGAGGAGGAGAGCCTCTCCTGGTACATGATGGGGAGAGGCAGGGCCTGGGCTCTGGGGAAGCTGCTTCCTCTGGCACAGAGTTGACCTAGAGGTTGATTTTCCAATCATAATTGGTTACCTGGGTCTAGTCATCATATTTAGGACAAAACAAGTCTTGCTTACACCAAACATGGCCTTGGAGAGCAGTGTGGCTCAGTTCTCCCAGTTGGGGGTGGGACTCGACCCAAGACCCTTCTCCTCCATTCCCAGCCGCTGTCCTTTGCAGATGACTGGGGAGGAGACAAGCAGAAGCACGTGCTGCTGTAGCCCGGTGGTCTTTTCCAGGGAGCTCACATAGGCGGGACCCGCAGCCCCACCCTGGCCCGGCACAGAGCTGACATCTCTACCCCAGAGGATGCCCATCGGGCGATTGAGTGGTGCTGTGCAGGTGGAAGCCACGGCAGTGGCTGCGATGCTGTGATACTCACAGATGCCCTCCGTTTCAGCACGGTGAGCCAGGCTGCCGGCTGCTTCCCAGCATGCACTGCTCTCCAACCCCACTACACAGGCTCACAGAGTTTTGGTTTGACAGGTATGAAAATAATTTTAAAAAATCACACCACTGTATATTCCAAACCCACAGCTGATGGCTTTGTTTTGTTTGACAGGAAAGGACAAAGAAACCACAGCTCCACAGTGGCCAAGGCTCCCATAAGCACAGAGCGTGCTTTGTACCCAAACGGAGAAACTTTGTCTGCTGGGGGAGCTGGGGGAGCCATGGGGTCCTCTAGTCGGAGGCTGGATCTGAGGTCACCTCGTCTTCACATTCCTCAAAGCCTGGGACCGGCTTCTGCAGAAAGTGTGTGGTGGCCTGGATCACCTTGTCGGGTCCAATGTTGTAGACGGGGTGAGTGGGCTGCTGTAAAAAGAACAGACACGAATTTGTCACCAGTGGCTCTTGGTTGGCTGAAACTCACCCGGCAGAACTTAGACTAAGGGAGCGTGAGTGGTACCCACAGGCTTATTCCAGGCCCACAGTACAAACCAGTATCTGCTGCAAGCATGCCATAGTACACAACCACAAGGGAACATTATACTGCCACTTAAATGTGTACTTTGATTATTTTAATGACAGGACATGCATGTTTATCTGGCATACATTCTGGAGTACTCACATACACTTTACCTGTCAAGCGTCTTTATCTAAAGCAATGAAGTCCAAAACTGTGTGGCAAACCCAGCACCTCACAAGTTAGCTATGTGTCTACTTCTAAGCGACATCCCTTGCTCCAAAACCTTTTCTTAAACATTCTATCTTTCTTATTACTAAATTTCTTTTTAATTAGCAGACAAAGTACCATTTGTTACAGGGTTCATTTTTCTTTGTTTCAGTCTGTTTTTAACAGGCTGGCTAGCCCAGGCTGGCCTCAGATTTGCTATGTACGATGGGCTTGAACTCTTGATCCTCCTGCCGCCGCCGCCACCCACACGCTGGGATTCAGGTGTGCCCTGCTGTGTCGGCATCCACTGTGACATTCATGCATCTTGTCATTAAGCTTTGTTATTATTTGCACCTTAGCCCCCACTCCTGCTGGTCCCCAAACTGGCCCCTGTAATCCCAGCACTCAGGAGGTGGAGGCAGGAGATCAGAAATTCACTTTGTCTTGGCTATACTCTTCTTAGGTGGAGGCCAGCCTAGGCTACATGAGACCTTGATTAAATAAATAAATCAGGGGCTGGCAAGATGGCTCAGCAGGTAAGGGTGATTGCTGCCAAGCCCCATAACCTGAGATCACTCTGGAACCTAAACAATAGGAGAAAACCAACTCCACTGACCACATGTTGCCCTGACCCTTGCCCAACACAAGATGGGGAGGCGGTGTAAAGAAATTGAAAATCTTCTGCAGCTACAACCTCCTCCTCTTCACTCTCCCAGAGAGGCTCAAATACTGCTCTAAAATCCTGTCCCGCCTTAGACCTTTGGTTTCTTTTGGATTTCTGTGATGTAGGGAAACATGTGAAAGAACTGGCTGAGGGTCTGAGGGTCTGAGGGGATGGCTCAGCTAGTCAAACACCTGCTTTCAAAATACAAGAGCCAGAGTCTGATCCCAGCGCCCATGTCATGCAGAAGGCCAGGTGTGGCTGGTGCACCTATAATGTGCACCAGGGAGGCGGGGACAGGAAGATCCCTGGGACTTACTGGCTGGCCAGCCCCCCCCCCCCCAGTGAGATGCTCAGGTCAAAGAACTGTGTGCACATCTGCCCAGGAGTGACACTGAGACTGCCCTCCGCTCTCCATGTGCACCCGCACACCTGCTCCACCAGAGGTTACACCAGGCGTAGTGGATGTAGCCTGTAATCCCAACCACCCCAGGAGGCAGGGCCAATAAAACTGATACAAGTTCAAGGCTAGCCTGGTCTAGGATGTGAATTCCAGGCCAGCCAGAGCTACAGAGTGACACAGTGGGACCCTAACCAAAAAAGAAAAAAAAAAAAAAAAAAAAAGATTTTTTCCTCTGTCAGCTATTTGCACTTCTGCTTGAAACATGTCCCAATGCAAACAACGGACAGAAATAAAAGCCAGATGAAAAGACAAGGCTCAAACATTTAGATCTGTTGTAGGCAGAACCTCAGAATGAGTGGCCATGACAAGTGGCTCTGTTACTTGGCCACTATGGACAGTCTCAGCTGCATCTGTCTCTTGGGCTCATGTCTAGGGGCAGAGTGTCACCTTGTTCCAGCTGCTATAGCTCAGGCCATGGTGGGCAACATCCTGCTCTATCCTTGTGCTGGGGGCTAAGCTCAAGGCTCTACAGTCTCATCCCAGCGTGAGCCCTAGCCATGAGCAACATCTCTAGCCTAGGACTGCCACCTTATGGGAGAAGCACACACGAAACAAATACACGGCAAACTGACGTGTGCTACTGTGGCACGGCAATGTGGGCAGTCTATGCTCTGAAGGGAAGGCATCTAAGCTGAGACATGAAGCCAGCGAGCCAGTGAGTGGAGTACCCTGCCCATGCTAGACGTCCCCAAGCTCTGGATAACGACTGTGTCGGCAGAGAGCTGGAATACAGAAATCACCTTATTAGAGGAACAGCCACCTCTGCCCCAGCTCAGACCATTGAAACCCTGCCTCTGCCTGGCCCGAGGTTCCTCCATGCACACCTTCACTCATAGGATGCAAAATGGCAGGAAGGTGGGGCCTGTGAGATTCCTAGCTTGCTCACACAGGAAACAGCCAGACCTGCAGGATACAAGTGAGGTCCCCAGACCCGCAAGACCTTGTAGAAATGGATGTTGAATTGTTATGACTAAAGAAGCTCCATTTTATGCTAGGCATCCATTTTTGGTACCCATCTGGCATCTGTCACTGACTCAAGGCCCTGGAAGATAAGTTTCCATGAACCCTGACTCAGTGAGACTATCTGTTATGATTAACTTGCTTATGAAGATACCCAAAGAGTGTTTTGAGTTCCCCCATTAATTAAAAAAAAAAAAGGTTTTAAATAAAAAATAGGATGGCTAAAAGTGACTTGTTATGACATAATTAACTGCTTTTTATTTACTTATTTTATTATTTATTTTTTGCTGCTGTAACTTGCTTACGCAGATACTCAAAGATTGTCTTGAGTTGGCTTAACCACTTAAGTTGGCAGAACAGAACAGGTTTTACTTGCTTGCATAGCTATAGAACGTCTTCATATGGTTTTCCCCTTTAGAAGTCCTTTCCTATACCCTTCTTCACGACCATCTCAAATTTGGCTCAGAGATTTGCCCTGCTATTAGTTAATCAATAAATCATTTAATTATAACTTCACTGAGTCCACGGTGTGTTCCCAGGGGTCACAAACTCCATAACAGAACCCCAACCTGCCTTACCAGAGCATTTTCAGGCACGCCCATGACCACATCATGTAGCATGGCCCCACTTCCGAAATGCTGGGCAATGGATAAGCCACTCAGGCAGTAGCAAGTGTGGTAGAAGTCACGTGACCTGCAAGATAGAGAGCGCTGAGAAGCCCTGTCCCCTCCCTCCCTCCCAACCTCTCCAAATACTGCCACCCGGAGTCCAGAGGGCTGTGACACAACTATGCTTGGGCCCATTTCTCTACAGGCGGGAGGAAGCATGGTTGTTTGCAGCAGTGGGCTTACAGGGCCCATTTTCAGCCCTGCCCGACAATGGGACTCTTTTCTTTCAGTTTTTTGTTTGTTTCTTGGAGGAATGAAAATGGAACTCAGGGCTTCCCACATGCTGGGCCAGTACAAAGTCCCTGCTGAGCCACACCCTCGGCCATGGGAGCTGTCATTTGGTCTCCCAGCTGCTCTGGAAAGGGCTCTCCAGTGGTGGTACTAAGTTAACATACTTCTCTAGAAAAATCACAAAATGTCCAGAAATCCTCCTGATGAAATGCTGGGTGTTTGTGAGTGTGTATGTCTGGAGCTTAACAGAACATCTCATATTTTAGGTGACCTTTTTCATTTACCATACACAATACCCACATCTGCCTTTAGTCATTCAATCTACCCTAGAACAGTTGCTGGATTACCATCCGTTTACAGCACTTACTGGATTGATGGCCTGTTCTGTTTGGCTGTTTCACACTGCTCAGGGTGACCCTGGACTGACATGCTAATATCGATACCTCCATCCATATCCTATTCTGGTTAAGTGGAGCTTAACAAGAAAGACAGAACGATAAAAGAAGCTGGGCATGGAGCACACCTTTAATCCCAGCACTCGGAGACAGAGGCAGGTGAATCTCTTGAGTTCAAGGCCAGCCTGATCTACAAAATGAGTATAGCCTGGGCAACACAGAGAAACCTCATCTCAAAAAAACAAACAAAAAGCAAAAAACAGTAAAGGAAAGCTACCAAGCAGCACTCCATTTGCCTCTCTGGGGAAGTAGAAAGATGCCTATGAGCAGGGGGTGGGGGGGAGGACAAGATGAGTAACCAGAAGTCAAGGCTCGGGGGCACTGGAGGGTTGTTCCCACTGTAACCCTTTCTTTCCCTGAACAAGGTTAGTGGTAAGCAGCTGAAGGACAGGGATGCCCCAGGTTGGTGGGCCTGGCTGGCATCCCCTCTCCCCTCATCCCGCCTTCCCAAGAAGACACTCACTTGCCAGGTTTGTCCAGCAAACCCCCGGCTGGGCACTGGCAGCACATCAGGATGTACTCCTGCAGGGCCTGCTGATGGAACATCCAGTGGCTCATGCTGAGGGCAGGGTCACCTGGTGAAGGACAGAGGACCAGAAAGACAAGGCAGACATCCATGGTTAGTCCCATTCCTCCCCTTCACTCACTTGCTAGCTTCACCACCTGTCTCCTGAACATGGATGTGCGTCAGTGAGCAGGAGACTGTCCCAGGACACAGACATGTCTCTGAAGACACCACTGCCAACTGCTCCACCACACGCAGCAAAAACAACCCGCATGATGGGAGCCACGCGAAAGTTAAGTTGTCTCCGGTGTTGTTTTTCTTTTCGTTTCTTTCAATGCTGGGGAGTGAACCCAGCACCTGTGCATGCTAGCCAAGCACTCCAGCCCTTGGCTACATCCCTAGGTCATGGCCCCCTTCATTCTCAAGTTCAGCCAACACCGTGAGAGAATATCTGTGGGTCCCACAGTTACCTAGCAGGGAGAGGAGCGCGCACAACCCTTGTTTTTATGCATTCCCCTATATAGTTACAATTATCATTTTGTAACATGTTTTTCATGTAACATATAAGCACAAACTTCTGTTACATCATCTCCATAACCATCATTCCAAACAGCAGTGAAACATCTCATTTAAACAGATGTACAAGGTAACCGAGAAAAGGGATGGTACCAAAACCCTCATAGATGTGGGTACATAAATCTCTAGGGTGGACAGGAAAACCTGGGTAAAACTTACAAAACGCTAAAGTGAATACAGTGGATGAAGAGAATATAAGCAAAACAAGTGTGGCTGGCAAGATGGCTCACTTGGCGCAGTGCCTCCTGTGCAAGCCGGAGAACCTGAGTTCAGACCCCAGCACCCAGGGCAGAGTCTGGTGCAGCAATGCACACCTATAATCCAGTGCTGGGGGAGGGCTGGAGACAAGAGGGTAGATCCATGGAGCTCGCAGGCCAGCCTAGCTCAGTGGGTGAGCTCCAGGTTCAATGACAGACGTGTCTCAAAAAACACGGTGAAAAGCGACTGAGAAGGACACCAGATGTCAACCTCTGGCCTCCATCCATCCCCACATGTATACACACACACCACATGACCAAAACAAACAAACAAAAACCCACATTTAATTATAAAATTATCAGGCAGAAATTATTTTCTTTTTTGAGACATGATCTCATGTTGCCAAGCCCACTTTTGAACTTACTATGTAGCTACCCTAAACTCCTGATCTACCTGCCTCCATCCACCTCCTAGAATTACAGGTGTCTATCACACATTGGCAATACTTTGTTTTTTGTTACTGTTTTGTTTTATTTTATATATATGGGTGTCTTGTTTGCATGTGTGCCTATTCACCATGTGTGTGCCTGGTAACCCTGGAGGCCAGAAACAGCACTGGATCTGGAACGAGGGCACAGAAAGCTGTGAGGCACCATGTGGGCGCTGAGAACCAAACCCGAGCCCTCTGGAAGAGCAGTCAACATTCATAACCACTGGGCCACCCCACCCGCAGCACCCATTCTTCTTTCTTTGAAAAGAGACATACACTTGTAGTCTCAGTTACTTGGGAGGCTGAGTCAAGAGGATTAGCTGAGCTAGAGAGGGAGAGAAAGGTAGGGGAAGGAGGAAAAGACAGAAGGAGAGAGGGAGGGAAAGAGGGAAGGGAAGGAAAGAAAGAAGACACACAATAAATAAACACAGAACCCTGCACCTTGCCTGGGCAACACAATAGAGCCAACCGCATGGGCAGAGGCGTGGGTGAGCCAGTACAGATGTTGTGAGCATGGGAGAGCTGTCACCATTACTCATCTATCATGTAGCGGCATGGGCAGGGGAGAGATGCCTGCCCTCGCCAACACCACCTGAGGTAGGTGGGAAGGCTGGTCCCGAGGCCACGAGAGCAGGAGAGCTGCCCTGACCACTAGCTGCTGCAACACTCAGAAGAGCAGGCCCTGCACCTTGCCTGGGCAGCACAACAGAGCCAACCCCATTGGCAGAGGTGTGGGTGAGCCAGCCCTGCAGTTGTAAGCATGTGAGAGCTGTCACCATTACTCATCTGTCGTGTGGCATTGGCACGGGAGGGGGAGAGATGTCCCCCATTCAACGCCAGAGGTAGGTGGGAGAACTGGTCCTGTCCCTCACCAGCTGCAGCACTCAGGAGAGCGCCCTCTTTTATCACACCTGGATAACACAGCAGAGCTGACCCTGAAGTGTAGGTATGGGAGAACCGACTCTGAGGACGTGGAAGCAGGACTGGCCCCGCCCCTTGCTCATTGCTGTGAGCTAGTCAGGGCAATGCTGGAGAGCTCACCCGGGTGGTAAGGACAGGGGAGAGTTGGTCCAGAACCAGGGTGATGAGTTGGTCCACATCATCTACCATCCGTGATCTTCTGGAGCAATGAAGGGATGGTCCTGCAGACCCAAAGTTGCAGGACCTCCACGACACAGGGCAACAACAGGAGAGCCAAGAGGAGTCCCAGTGAGGGCCCAGCATCGATAGTGTAGCAGAAACCAGGGTCTCCAACCAGACCAATGTTACTCCTTACAATGAACACTTGCAAGTAAAGATATGAGTTAAGGGGTTTACTGCATGGCTCACTGTGCCACACTACAGCTTCCAAGGCCTTTGTGTTTGTTTGTTTTCTTCTCTTAAGTTTTTTGTTATTTTATTTTATGGGGGAGGTTGCAATGGCACAGAGTGACTATAAAGGGAAGGCATAAAAATGGAATGGAGATGCATGATGTGAAAGACACAAAGAATAAATAAAAAAAAAAAGTTAAAACAAAAAAGGTGTTCCCAGTAACTAAAATAGTAAAAAGCATTTGTACCTTTCACCACATGAGGACCCAACATTCCTATCTTATCATACTATACATGCATGCATGTATGTGTGTTACAAGCCTCATAATGCTAGCAAGTGGACTACTACTGGTCAGGTCATCAACCTTGGGGTGGGCACCTTTAGCCACTGAGCCACTGTAGCCCCTACCCACTAATTTTTAAAAATTACTAAGAAGTAAAGGTGCAAAAAATAAAATCACAAAATACTAATAGTCTGATGTAAACTATGTATTAAATAGTTCACCATTAAGAAAATAACCAGGCCAGGTATGGTGGTCCATGCCTTTAATTCCAGCACTTCTTAAGTCAGGTATGGTAACACACCTGCAATCCCAATGCTTAGAATGATCACAGGTTCAAAGTCATCCTTAGCTACATAAAGAGTTTGAAAGTTTCTTATTAAACAGAGTCAGTAAAATGGCTCAGCAGGTAAGGGCTCTTACTACTCACCCTGATGGAAAGAACCAGGTCTGAGGAACACACATTTGCCCTGGCACACATCCTATGCCCACCCCCACACTGGTGAATACAAACATGACTAAATAAATGTAATAATTGCTTTAATTACAAGAAGGTGGCAAGACAGATCAGCCAATAAAGTGCTGGTTGCACAACCTTGGGGACCTGAGTTCTATCTTTAGCACCCAGATTAAAAAAAAATCCAGGCGTGGCAGTACACACTTGTAATACCAGAGCTGAGGGGTGGAGGCAGGAGGCTCCCAGGGCTGCTCAGCCAGCCAGTCTAGTTAAATTAGTGACAGTGACTGAGGAAGACACTTGGCCATCGGCCTCCACATCATACATGCACCACACATAAACAAAAACAAGTGGATAGAGATTGCTAAGATGTGAGTGCTTGCTGGGTCTGGTGGCACATACTGTATTTCAGCACTCAAAAACAGGTAGAAGACCGGCAATTCAAGGCCAGACTGGGCTATATAGGTTGGGATACATGATGCTGTGTTTAAAGAACAAAATCTACATATTCTCTGCAATCCTTAAAAGATTTTAACAGAATTCATACTGAATCACAGAAGACCCAAAACAGCCAAGGTTACCTTGAAAAAGAAGAAAGCCAGGAGATCTGTGTTTCCTTATTTCAACACCTACAGCAGAACTATAATAACCATGGTGCCTAAGGATAGACACACAGTCTACGCAATGCAGTAGAAATGAGAAGCAGGAGATGAGCCCACACACCCACTGCCACAGGATGCTGCATCTATTAAGTGAAGGAAAGCACAGTCCATCCTGGGACAACATGTGTCGGTTGATGCAGGAGGATTGACATGAGTTTAGGCCAGCCTGGGCTATCTTGTCTCAAAACAACAAAGAAACATTATCCGCTCATTTATCCTGATCTGCATGCCCTGTACTACCAATTGATTTACTAGTCTATCCTTGTTTTCCAAAGCCAGACAACTTTATGGCTCTCATCTTACACTGTATTTATCCATTTTCTATGACACAGGTGTACCTGCCTCTTGTCTCCTTTCTGCTCATTTGTTTTGTTACATGAGTTTAAAATAAACAACTAATCACATTGTTGTTGTTTTCTTTGTGATATCCTTACTTTTCAAATATTTGACGGGTGTTATGCACTTGCACGGGTAACCTTGGGGGATTCCATGGTAGGAAGGATGGCCAAGGCAGAGGGACAAACATGCCAGGCAGAGTTTAAGTGAGAAGTTTTATTAGAAAGGGAAGGGGGAAGGAAAGAGAAAAGAGGTAAAGAGACACAGAGAGAGGACAGAAGAGAAGAGGGAGACAGGAAAAGTTCTGTCTGTTCCAGGGAAACCTTGGGGAAGACAGCAGGAAAGAGAAGAGGAAGTGGGCGGGGTCTTTTAAAGGGGTCCTTTGAACCTGCTTGCAGACTGGTAGTCCTGGAACCCTGGGCTGACCAGGTCACTGCCTAAGTGCATTCTACCAGGTGACAGGGGCAGGCCAGCATAATGCCTTAATCCTTACAATGGATGTATATTTTGGAAAGAAAGTGTAGAAAATGTTCTAAGCCCATTATGATAAAGGCAGTCCAGATCTACAGACACTAAATTGTAGATTTTAAATGAATCAAGGATAGGGCGTGAGAAAGAGCTCGATTGCGTTTAAAGAAGTATTTGTTACACTTTAGGGTAAATATAGTAAAGTTTCTATTCATACTGTGCCCTTATGTCATACCCTATAACAAACGGAAGATTATCATCCCCTGGCAAATGATAACCTATGGCCAAAATCACAATGTTTCTGTCACTTCCTATACCACTATCGTTTAAAAGCTCAGAGTTCACAAACTCTCCCAAGGACTTCCTGGGGATATTGGGCACCAACACACATAATTGTGGCAAGATAAAGGATGAGTTGATTCCAGGATGGTAACAGCATGGAAATCAGGCTTAAAACCCTGTGCACCTCTGCAGCAGTTACAGATTCCCATCATAATGTCACTTTTGAGAATCCCCACATAATGTCATTTTGCATTTCAAAGGATCCTTTTAGCTACAAAATGAAGAGTCTTCACAATTACAACACAGAGCTCCAGGTACATGTCACTCAACCCAACAGGTGGACAAAGCCTAGGGTATGTCCCAAAGAATACACCAAGAAACACATGTGCCTGAGGGTAGCTATTAACATGACTGAGCATAGAATCTCTAAACTCAGTTAAAATATGAATTTTATAGTTTTTGGTGATGTTGCTTTTCTTGTAACTCACTTGTGTAGTTCTGGAGTGTGAACTTGTAGATGACAGTATCATGTCACAGCTGTACTGCTCTTGCAAAGGGTGTGAGTTTGGTGCCCAGCACCCACTAGCAGGTGGCTGACAACCTCCTGTAACGCTAGCTCCAGGAATCTGACCCCCTCTGACACACACACACACACACAGACACACAGGTTTTAATTAAAATAGACGTAACAATATATATCATGTTTTTGGAAGAAGAAAAAGGGCATAGTAGAGGATTACAATTTACAAGGTAACCTCTGACCCCCTCCTATGCTGCCCTCAATATCGCCCATTGTTAAGTGTTTGGACATGATGCTAAGAAAAGCCAGTGGACACCAGCTGGTGTGCACATGGTGGCCCTGGGTCTGGCCTTTTACACTGTATGTTGTATCCCGGGGAGCTTTCTGTACAGAACCATTGTGTGCAACTACTGTTTAGAAAGAGCATCATTTATTTACCGACTCAGGTTTGTTTGTTGAGGAAGTGCCTCACAGTATAGACCTGGCTGTAGGTCAGGCTCCCCTTGAACATACAGGGATCTGCTTCTTGAGTGATGGGATGAAAAGTGTGCAGTGGCCAGGCTGGGCAACTCTTCACCTTTCAATGGACATTTCCCATTTGCTTTTCAAACTCTACTTCAATATACACCCTGTACTGTTATCTCTGTGGGTGAACTCCTGACAATGCACTGGCCAGCTTGAAATTTTAAATATGTTTATAAGTTAAACAGACACCTGCACACTATCCTACAAAACCAAATGCCAATTTGTAGTTTATTAACAGGATAAAATGCCTATTTCCTCTGTCTCCCAATGGCTGGGACAGACAGCATACTCCACCATGCCCAGCCTCAGACTAACAGTTTTTGTTTTTTAAATGAACATTCTTCCAGAGTTCTATAAATTCAATTATATAGCACATTGTTGTTTTCTAGCATTTTCTGTAAGAAGTGAAACATTTTCATAACCAGATCTGTAACACTATTTAAATGATTAGATATTAGTTTGTTGTACGATGTGTCATAATTTACAGAAGAGCCCCTCCTCCCCCACGTGTGAACTTGTAAGTTGGTCTGACATTCTGCTCTTGAAAAAGGAATGTAGCAAACACTCTTAAGGGGTGCTCCTTGGACACACTATTGCTTATGGTGTAAGGTCAGTTCCTAGAGACAACCTTGCCTGGCTGATCCACAGAGATGCATGGGCTGGGGAGACGGCAGTAGAGAAGGCACTTGCTGTGTGAGCATGAGGACCAGAGTTCAGATCCTCAGCACCATGTGAACTGAGGGCGGTCATGGCAGCTGCCTGTAATCCCAGCTCTTGGCTGCCAGAAACCGGACATTCCCTGGGCAAGCTTCCTAGCCAGACAGACTGGCCAGAATTGGTGAGCTCCAGGCTCAACCAGAAACCACCTCAATAAATAGAGATCCATCAAAGAAGATGCCTAAAGTCAACTTCAGGCCTCCACATGAGCTTGCACACACATGCATGCTCACCCAGGAATGAGCATGTACACCTGCCATGCACATTCACATATGCACACGTGTGCACAATACGTGTATATGTGCATTTCTTATTAGAAAACACACTATTAATAGTATAATCCTAAATAATAGTTGTCATAATAAATGGGTATTTTCTTTTACTTTTTAGCTCTTGATGGTCTGGAACTCGCTATGTAGAGCAGGCTGGCTCCCAACACAGAGCTCTGCCTGCCTGAAGGCCAGAAGGAGTTGGATCTCCTGCAGCTGGAGTTATAAGCCACCCAATGTGGGTGCTGGGAACTGAGCTGAGGTCTTCTGTTAGACCAGCATGTGCTCTTAACCAGTGAGCCATCTCTCCCTGCCCCTAACATGCACTTCTTTAGCTATAAACATGCTGGGTAACTTTTGAAGTGGGGAGGGCAGGGTATTCCTCCACAGTGATGCTAGGAGGGCTGAAGTCCCCTACTGACCACTACAAGCTGCAGTCAGTTTATAAAGCAAGCCTTAACCACATGTACTTTGTGTCCTCATCTGCAAAATGAGAACGTCAAAATTCTCAGTGTCATTTGGGGATCAAATTTAAAGAACCTAAGTGAAACACCCTGGCATGGTGAATGCTTGGGAAATTTCTGCTGCTGCCAACAGAGCCATCATCATGGGAAAAGAGTGGCATCTGCGGCTTTCCATAAGCCAGCTCCAAATAAAGAGATCACCAAAACCTCAGGTTATTTCTTTCATAAAAGTCAGCCTCTAGGGCAGTGGTTCTTAACTTTCCTAATGGGGTGACCCTTTAATACAGTTCCTCGTGATGTGGTGACCCCAACCATAAAATTATTTTTGTTGTTACTTTGTAACTGTAATTGTGCTATTGTTGTGAATGGCAATGTAAATATCTGGTACGCAGGAAATCTGATATGTAACTCCTGTGAGAGGACTGTTTCTGAGCCCCAAATGGCCCACAGGTTGAGAACCGCTGTTCTCAGGAGTTCCTGACGGCCCTACCAGTGATCACGCCAGTGATCATGCCATAGCCTGTGCAGCTTCCAGAGTGCTAGCTGGGAAGGGAGGACAGTAACTCTGTACTTGTAATCAGTGTCAAAAGCATCTACAACTCATCGGGTCTGGGGAGATTAAGGAATTGAAGAACGGGGCTCTGAGAGTCTGGAAAGGAGCTTTGGTGTGAGAGGTAAAGAGCCTTATCTTTTACATTCGAGCAACTTGCCACCCAGCTGAGCCCACAGGAAAATCTCCCTCTGGACTAGGAGATCTCCGGGCAGGCGGGAACAGATTGACAGCTGGCAGGGCGACTATGACCCCCTTCCCTCCCATCTGTGTACCCAGTCCTCACAGACAAGAATGAGCATGGAATCAAAGACACTGAGAAAAGGGGCTGCCTGAGCCTTCGCTTGCTGGTCTTGCACTCCCTAGAACATGGATTTCCCTAGCTCAGGGAAGCACACTCATACAGGTGAGCTCACTGACTTCAAAATGAAACATTTCTAGGGATGGGTTACAGCTCAGTGGCAGAGGGTCCCTGGTTTCAATCCCCAGTTCTGCCAAACAAAACAGTAGCATTCATAAAACAGCATTCTATTTCTTTACTTTGTGGGGGAGGAGATCACATGTGGAGATCAGACAGCTTGCGGGAGTCAGCACTCTGTTTCCACCATGTGGGTCCCAGGGATTGAACTCGGGTCGTCAGACTTGCCAGCAAGAGCCTTTACTCACTGGCTGAAAATAAAACATTTCTAATGGTGACACGTTCTCAGCCAGATGTGATGAGTCTTTGCTCGTGGGTTCTGGTCCTCCCTGCCCCTTTTATAACTGCCTTTCCGATTACCATTGTGACTGTGCACAGATGGGGTCTTTCATTCTGGCATGACCAAACACAGCTCTGCAATGGAAGTGTGGCTTCATGCCCAGCTGAGATGGCAGCCCCAGTCATTGTGGGGCCTGAGACAGGGTGGGGATGCTCCCTTCAGATAACAGGGAGTGACACAGGGAAAGTTCATCCTGAGGCAGCAGTGGGTGATCTGAAACCACCGGACCTGAATCCTATTCTGCGTACACAGCCCCTAGGTCAGGAGGCTCGGTACCAGCTCCCCAAACCCCAGGCAGACAGAGCTGCTTCCAACTCCTCCAAATAGTACTTGGTTAGGAACTGGCCAGGGAGTCAGTTCTTCTAGCTCTAATAGCAGTGGGGGCTCACCTTGAGCGTGCAGGGCACGATGCAGCAGAGGCAGGAGTCCTGCCTGCCAGAAGGAGTAGCAGCCGTCCACCAGCTTGTTGCAGCGGCCCTGAAATCCTCCTTCAAATCGCATCTGCCGGCTCGTTACCCATTGCTGAGAGAGACCACAGGAGAGGCGGTGTGAACCACAGATACACCAACAAGGACCTGTTGGTGGGATAGCCCTGGCTTCCCTCCCCATCCCCCCATGGATGCTGCCATTAGCAACCAGCCCTGATCACTGCCCAGAGTTGAAAAAACAACCACCATTTTTAGTCAGCACAAAAGTGAAAGGTTTCACTGTTACATTTTTGTACACGTGTGTGTGTGTGTGTGTGTGTGTGTGTGTGTACACATATATCATATCATTTTGTATTTTGCTCTGTTTCCCTCACTGCCATTTCCTGTCACCCCTCCCCAGGCTGATTCCCATCCCCTTCCCCAAATAGTGGCCCTTCTGCATTCATGTCACATATGTCCCATCACCCTCTCTTGTTCCCACGACCCTGACAGCCACCTTTGCTTAGGTCCAAATGGAGGCGGGTGCTGAGCAAAGAGGCCATGCTTGTATGGGAGGCCTGCAAAAGTCTCTTAAACACAGCTTGGGCAGAAACTCTGGCAGGACCACCAGTCTCTTCCCATCACTGCTCAGGGGAGTTTGTTCAAAGCAGAGATGGGAAGCGTTGACCTGATCGTCAGGTGACATCAAGCTAGTCCTGCCTTCACCTGGTAGCTGAGGGCATTCACTCCAGAACAGGATTGAGGGTAGAAGCCATTGATCCTAATTATCAAGTGATAACTCCCTGGTCTAGTCTGGGGAACCTGGCTAGGTGATGTAAGGAAAATCCTGTTCTGAAGCTGTACACTGGCACTTGTTTCCCAGAGGCCACACATGAACACCACCACTCCTGGCTTATCACCACATTTCCTGAACACACTCCATCAAGATAGCCTAGGAGGGACAAGCAGAACCAACTGGCTGAGCAGATACAGCGTTCTCTTCCCTCCCAGCCCGAGGTCTCGGGGCCGCACCACTCAGCTGAAAGGAACAGTGTGCTACGCCCAGCACCTGGAGCTGTCTGGATCGAGTTCCTGAGTGTAGACCCCAGGGAGTCTCTGGAGGGAAGCCTGGACTGCCCTTAACTAAAATGGAGTTTAGATTCCATCCCTGGTCTCGGTAGCACAAAAGTCAGTCTCACATTCTTAAAGGGACAAAAACCTATAGGTTTAGGCAGTAACACCTCCCTACCGGTCTTAAATGAACCTATGTTTCAGGGACTGCCATTTAGTGGCAGTGGGCTAAGCATTCAAAAGAAAAGCAGGGGGGGGGGGCACCCTGCACTTTTACTAAACCCACAATGTGAGTGGATTCAACCCAGGCTACATGCTTTGGTCCAGTGCCTAAAGCCATGGGTTGGTTCAACTTCCTTGCCTACAGGATGTAAAAGGCTCTCAGATACAGGTGTTGGTGCCCCGTCCTCTTGTTCTTTGAGAAAGGGTTTCTCTGTGTAGTCCTGAGTGTCCTGGAACTCACTCTGTAGAGAAGGCTGGCCTCAAACCCCGAGATCCTCCTGCCTCTTTCTCCCTGGTGATGGCACTAAAAGAGTGAGCTACCACCACTGGCTCAGGTATTGGTTATTTATAGCAAACAGAGGGAGGGGGGTCCCTGGGAAAGAAAGGGCTGACATCTATGGAGCACCTCTTGTCTGTTTACGTTCTCTCCTTTAACCCTCAAAGAATATGGATTATTATTCCTACCTTCCAGAAGGAAAAGAATCAGTGCAGCTACAGCAGATTAGACAATTGGCCCAGAGTTTCTTGGCTGAGAAGATGAGGAGGGGTTCAAACCTACAACATTGTCATTATAATGACATGCACTATTATATTCTTTATTTTTGCCTACAACATGGGACTTTATATTTCATCTCTTGGTAGTGATCAGATTTTAAAATGCACCTACAAAGTGGTCCATTCAACATCAATTTTCCAGAACCTTCGTAGAGTATGCCATGTGAGAGGCTTTCTCTGTCTCACAATGAGGGCAAAATGCTGCTTGTCACACCACAAAATATAAAAGCAACTCTCTAGAGGGCTCATAATGGCTCAACAATGAGGGGCTGGCATCTGCTTTCACGGGCTGAATGTCAGTTGTAGCTGGTTTGCTTTGATGATGGCCAGGGGAGCACATGCTCCCAAAAGACAAAAGGAATACACTCTCTGTGAGTTCTAGGCTTCCCTTATGCTGACTGATTTCTGAACACTGGCCAAGAGCTTAGGGTCTAGAAGACATGCTCACACCTCCTGATAGCAATTCTCCTGCTTTGCCTGAAGAACTTGCTGGAATGCAAATATGCAATTTTCACAAGCAACAGAGTTTTCACAGGTAATAAATCTTTGACCCTAAAATGCCTGAAAGCTCTTCTCAGAGCTTCTTCTCTTAGAAGATTCTAAGACACACAGTAATACTGAATCCTAAGGGACCGTGGCTATTTTTCTTGGGTTTGGGGACTCATTCCAGGTGGCCAGAAGACTCAAGACCACTCAGTCTGTGCAGAAACTTCAAAGCAGCCAGACAGAGAGGTAGGAGAGGAGAGCCGACTGAGAGCAATCGTTTGCCCCTCCAGCTGACTTACAGTGGTGCTGAGCACCTAAGACTGCATCGGACGCTGTGTCCTGGGACTCAGAGTCCGCGCTAAGGCTACAGCTCTGCAGCCCTTCCCACCACACACCTCCCAGGTCCCAGATCACAGTCCCATCACCAGACCCAGGCCCAGGGAAAGGATGGTAAAACAGCTACTCACTAACAAGCTCTTCAGGTTCAAAGAACGTTCCTTCTTGAGGATTACCAGCGCAGCCAAGCCACAGAAGGTGTAGCCACCATGGGCTTCCATCCCTGGCACCCCGCCGATGCCCCCTTCCCAGTTCTGGCACCTAGGAGAGTGGGAAAAGCAAGACTGTGGCAAGTGCATGGATGGGGACAAGTGTCCTCCCATATCCTGGGTGCAGAGAATAAGTGTGCTCTGATTAAAGCATAAGTGGTTACTGTGATGGATAGAAACATGCTGATTCATTAACCTGTATGCATGTAAATAAGTGTGTGTGTGTGTGTGTGTGTGTGTGTGTGAGTGTGTGCGCGCATGCGTACGGAGGCCAGGAGTCAGTTTTTGGGGGTGTTGTTCCTCAGGATAGCTATCTACTTTGCTTTTTCGTGCAGTCTCTCACTGGATCCAGGGCTCATACTTTTGGATGTCTTGGCCAATCAATTCTGGTGATCCCCCTAGCTCTGCCTCCCCAGTGCTGGAATTACAAGCATCTGCCACAATGCCTGGCTTTTCACATGGCTACTGGGGTTTGGATTCAGGGCCTCATGCTGTAAAGGATGCACTCTGTGGGCTGAACCAGAAGCCTTGGAAATTTAAGAACTGTCCACTATGTAAGAAATGTAGTAGCATTGGTTAATACTCATTGGGGGAAGGTTGCAAAGTCTTATACATAGCAGAATCATCAAGTTAAAATAAAGTAAAAAAATAATTGCTGGTTTTGGTTATCTTTGAGTGCCAGGTGGATTAGTGAATGAGTTTTCATTTTTGTCTAGTTTCTTCTTTTTAACTCTAGCTCTGGAGATCAAATCCAGGACTTCACGGATGCTAGGCAAGTGTTCTACCACTGAGCGACATCCAACCTCTCTTATTTCTGGTTTCTTTCTTTCCTGTTCCTGTTTGTTTGAGATGGGACTTCATGTAGCCCAAGCTGTCCCTGAGCTTCCTGATGCCCCTGTCTTGCGCTACCACCACCCTCCAAGTGCTGGGATACAGATGGGAGACGCCATGCCTCAGACTTTTGGTTTGTTTTGTGGTTTGTTTGTTTGTTTTGATTTGTTTTGGCTGTACTGGAGATCAAACCCAGGGCATTGCACATGCCAGACAATCAAGCACTCTATTACTGAGCAAACTCAGCCCACTTTTTGTATTGTGAAATGGGGCTCCCTAAATTGCTCAGGCTTGCCTTGCACTTGCTCTGTAACCCTGGCAAGAACTGAATTTGGGGTCCTCTTGTTTTAGGCTCTGGAGTAGCTGGAATATAGGTACACACTACCAGGCTTCCTGGCTTAAAATTTCTATAATGAACACACACACACACACACACACACACACACACACACACACACACACACACCTATTTAAAATTTTTTGACCTATGTTTTATTATGTTGCCCAGGTGGGCTCAAGTGATCCTCCTACCTCAGCTTCTCAAGTAACTGAACTAGCTGGGTTGATGGCTCATGCCTGTAATTTCAGGACTTAGAAGCTGAGGCAAGAGGATTGGCTACAGAGGAGATTCTGTGTCAAACTAACAATAAAACCCCTAAGTATAAGACTGCTCAGCTTGTAAATGCTCAAAACTAAACTTTATTTTTAAATGTTAGACTCTTATATATTTAAAATATCTAAGATAAGTGTAATAGCACATGCCTTTAGTCTCAGCACCTGGTAGGCAGAGGCATGCAAATCTCCGAGTTGGGGACCAGCCTGATCTACATAGCAAATTCCAGACCATTAAGAGCTACAAGGTGAGACCCTGTCTCAAAAAATTGAAAAGTAAAAGAAAATATCCACTTATTGTTAAAACTATTATTTGGAGTTATATTTGTGTGTTTTCTAATCAGAAAACATGCACATATATACACATGTGTGTGGTATGCATGCATGCATATATATATGTATATACACATACACAAACATACTTACACATACATACATACATACATACATACATACATACATACATACATGAATGTGCACGGCAGGTGTACATGCACATTCCTGGGTGAGCATGCATGTGTGTGCAAGCTCATGTGGAGTCGTGATGGACCTCTACTTTATTTATTGAGGAAGTTTCTGGTTGAGCCTGGAGCTCACCAATTCTGGCCAGTCTGTCTGGCTAAGAAGCTTGCCCAGGGAATGTCCGGTTTCTGGCAGCCAAGAGCTGGGATTACAGGCAGCTGCCATGACCGCCCTCAGTTCACATGGTGCTGAGGATCTAAACTCTGGTCCTCATGCTCACACAGCAAGTGCCTTCTCTACTGCCGTCTCCCCAGCCCATGCATCTCTTTGGATCAGCCAGGCAGGGTTGTCTCTAGGAACTGACCTTACACCATAAGCAATAGTGTGTCCAAGGAGCACCGCTTAAGAGTGTTTGCTACATTCCTTTTTCAAGAGCAGAATGTCAGACCAACTTACAAGTTCACACGTGGGGGAGGAGGGGCTCTTCTGTAAATTATGACACATCGTACAACAAACTAATATCTAATCATTTAAATAGTGCCACAGAGTTATGAAAATGTTTCACTTCTACAGGAAATGCTAGAAAATAACAATGTGCTGGAAGAAAATATGCAAAAAAAAAAAAAAAAAGAAGAAGAAGCCATGCATGTTGTTAAACCAGGCACTTGGGACACAGAGGTGGGTGGATCTCTGTGAGTTCCAGGTCGGCCAGGGCTACATAGTGAGACTCTTCTCAAGAAAAAAAAAAAAAAACAACAACAAAACATGTATGATGGCTAGTTTTAACTGCCATCCTGACACACTCTGGAGTCACCTGGGAAGAGCTTCAATGAAGGACTGTCTGGGAGGCGTGCCTGTGGGAGAGTGTCTTGACTGTGTTCACTGATATGGGAAGACACAGCCCACGGTGAGCAGTACTGGATCCTGGTCCTGAGCTGTTTCTGCTCTTGACTAGCAGGTTCCTGCTGCCTCTACTTACTTCAGTCCATGATGTAACCTAGACATCTGAGCTAAAACAAACCAGTGCCCCCCAACTGATTTCTGTAAGGATATTTTTATCACAACAATAGGAAGCAAAACTAGGACATAGGACAATTGGGTAGATTACAAGTAATTTAGACTTTCTTCTTGCCTACCTACAGCAAGCATGTTTTATCTATGGAGCAATTTTAAGGTCTGTGGATGTGCATGTGGGTGCATCCTGGGTGTGTGTGTGGGGGGGTGCACCCAGGTGTGTGTGTGTGGTTATACCCAGGTGTGTGCATGTGAGTGCATCCAGGTGTGTGCATCCAGGTGTGTGTGGGGGATATACCCAGGTGTGTGCATCCAGATGTGTGTATCCAGGTATGCACATGTGGGTACACCCAGGTGTGTGCTAGGGATTAAATCCCAGACCTCACTCATGCAAGGTGAGTACTCTACAGCTGAGCCCTAGCCCTAAGTTTTAAATATATTTTAATATGACACTATCATGCTTTACTTCCCAAAGTCACCCTTCTCTGCCTACTATGTTAGAACAGCACAGGTGAACAGGCCTTTATCCAGGAGCTGACAGGATCTCTAAGCCCTTCCTCCATAGAGGCCTAGCATCTGGGGAGCTTGCAGGCTTCCTTTTGAGAGAACCCAGGCTCAGGGAAACCAGCTACATGCTCTGAATAAACTGCTTTCCTCTGTCTAAGTCCCTTGTCCCCTATCACCACCCAAACACAAGCTTCATTTTAGAAATCCAGTGCATTTGGCTACTTGGACTAGAGAAAGCACTCATGTTTGAAAACTCTGGTGAGTGAAGAGTTTGCAAGGGAGATCAAATTCTGTCTTTTATTAAACTAATCTTTGTTGAAATCTTTAATTGAAAAAGTAATAACTAAAAGCTTCCAAGAGCATAAAAGAATAAACAGGCATTGGTGGCACATGCCTTTAATCCCAGCACTCAGGAGGCGGAGGCAGGTGGATCTCTGTGAGTTTGAGGCCAACCTGGTCTACAGTTAGTTCCAGGATGGGCTCCAGAACAAAGCAGTTTCCTAGGCTACTAGTTCCTATTACCTGCAGTGACCCATCAGTTTAGTCTTAGTCTTTCTCTATGTCTCTTTTAAACACACATACAAACACACAGCACACATACCACATGCATACATAATATACACACATACATATATATCCACATAAACACAGACAGTACATGTGCACACACTACACACAAATACTACTGACACATGTTCCACTTCCCTTCCCTTGGTTTTTACACAAAGAGGAGCACATGATACACTCTCTCCTGTGTCTTGCTTATTTTTCATGTTAATAAAACTCTTTGGAAATGACTGTGGTGGCATATTGCCTGTAATCCCAGCACTTAAGAGGTAAAAGATCAGAATTCATGGCCAGCCTCAACTATATAGCAAGTTCAAGGCCAGCTTGGGCTTCATGAGATCCTGTCTTCAACACACACACACAGACACACACAGACACACACACACACAGACACACACACACACCATAATGGAATGAATACCAGAGCCCAACCAAATAGAAAAGGATGGAAAAGGTACAAATGGCTAGGGTAAAGAAAAAAGAAAAGCCAGGGTGTTGGTGGCATACTCCTTTAATATCAGCACTCAGGAAGCAGAGGCAGACAGATCTACAGAGTAAGTTCCAGGACAGCCAGGGCTACACAGAGAAACCCGAGGGAGGGGGGAGAGGAAAAGAAAGAAAAGAAATCAGGAAAGAACATGAACACAGGCTAGCAACAACAAAATCCTAAAAGCTGGATGGCAGGAGCTAAGGGTACCTAAACAGCTGGTTAGAGAGGTCTTCCTCAGTTCTGGGGCAATGGTAGAAAAGTGGCCACAGCCAAGAGCAAGACCATGTTTGATTACTATGGTGGTTTGAATAAGAACAGCACCCATAGGCTCATATATTGGTCACCAGGGGTGGACTATTTGAGAAGGATTGGGAGGTGTGGCCTTGCTAAAGGAAGTGTGTCACTAGGGGTGGGCTTTAAGGTTTCACAAGTCCATGCCAGACCCAGGCTTTGTCTCTTGTGTATTCCTACCTGTCTAAAACCCATAGGTCCGCCAGTGAGTAAGGGGGTGGAGAAAAGCGTAGTCTTAGCTCGCTTCCATTTTTTAAAAGATTTTATTTATTATATATACAGTGTTCTGCCTGCATGTACACTTGTACACCAGAAGAGGACACCAGATCTTATTACAGATGGTGTGACACACCATGTGGTTGCTGAGAATTGAACTCAGGACCTCTGCAAAAGCAGCCAGTGCTCTTACCCTCTGAGCTATCTCTCCAGCCCCTTGGCTCACTTTCATGTAGATGACTTCTCATCAGCCTTTTAATACCGGACTCCATATGAACACAGTAGCTAAGCACTAGATATGTGCACAAATCTCCAGTATGAACAAGAGACCCATCCTCAAAAGCAAAGTGGAGGAGACAATGCTGGGCACAGAAGAAAAGTACTTAATGTTGCATCTTATTGTTTTTAATTTTTAAAGACTTATTTACTTTTAGTGAATGGGTGTTTTGCCTGCATGTATGTTTGTACACCATGTGCAGTGTCCATGGAGGCCGGAAAAGGGCATCAGATCTCCCTGGAACTGTAATTATAGGAGATTGTGAGCTGCCACGTTGGTGCTGGGAGTTGAACCCAGGTCCTCTAAAAGAGCAGCCAGTGCTCTTAACTGTTGAGGGTTGGGGTGACAGTAGCCAGGATGTACTGTACTATACATACATACATACATACATATATTTGTCTAAGAATAAATTTGATTTTAAAAAAGGCTTTAAAAATTAGGCTAATACCACCAATTAGATGCTGTAAAACGAGCAAGCTGAGTATGTTGGCATATGTCTATAACCCTAGCACTCAGGAGACTGAGGCAAGAGGACCAGGGTGCTAAAAGTTAGCTTTGGGTTCACTGTGAGATGCTATTTCAAAATAAAGGAGAAGTTGCCAAATGAATACCGCAATGCAAATTCTTGGTCTGAAATATGTATGCTTCCAAGTGAGTGCCTAATACACATGAAAATGACCCACACCAAGACTCATCATCATGAGGTTTCTGAACAGCACCAATAAAGATTCTCCAGGTCTCAAGGCAGACACATGGGGTTGTGATGGAGAAAAAGACAGAAGTAAAACAAAACTGCCCAGGAGATGGGACATCTTGATGGCCCTCAAATGGTGGCAGGCACTGTGGCTACCATCCCAGGCACACCCACTTGAATCCTGTGTGTTCCAGATTTATATACAATTTAACATACCATCGACTGACACAAACGAGTAAAATACGTCCAAGGCCCAAAGCTGGTAATAAATAATATAACTGGTTCAGTCAGATGCTTGAGTTCAGTGAGTGTGGGCTAGTGAGCCCTCCTGTAGACTGGGCTGGGCAAAACATCTACAAGGCCCAGCTGACGAAGGAAAGTCACAGGGAGGTTAAAACTTAGAGCCAACAACTACAGAGAACTGGCCTCCTTCTATACCACCCTATCTTTCTTTTCCTTTTTCTTTTTCCCTTCTAATTTGCCCAGGGGATGACCATGATACCCAAGTGGTAACTGTGGCAGCCTGGGACTTGGGGCAGGGTGGAGCAGCTAAAACACTAACCGAAAGCCACCATCTTTAGCAGGAAGAAACAGGCTACTAGAAAGTGAGGACAAGCCAGTAGAGTCAGCGATGGAAAAACCCTACATCAGCTCAAGTTTCTACCTTGAAAGCACACACATAGCGGGCAAACTCAGCAGCTTGGAATCCAAACTGTTCTGAGACCTGAGCTGCCGCCCACTGCAGGGCAGAGCACTGTTTGAAGTTTACAGTATGAGTCTGACGAAGTGGCTTGTCTGCTAAAAACAAAAACATCCTTTGAAGCAATCTAACAGAATTCATTCTCTACAACACACCAACCACAACATCCACAACAGTCCAAAGCTTTTCAACATATGGACACCGGGAAAATGACACATCAACTTTCAAGTTACCTACATGTTGAAAAGACCTAGACATGGGCTTTTTAAATTTTTACGTAATTGTGATTTTATTTTATGCATGCATGTATATTTTATGTATGTACCAGCATTTTGCCTACATGCTTGCCTGTGCACCACATGCATGCCTCATGTCAATGGAGGTCATTACAGGGTATTGGATTCCCTGCAATTCAAGTTACAGACAGTTACGAGGGGACAGGAGGGCGCTGGTAATTGAACTTGGATCCTCTGGATATGTTCTCTTAACAACTGAGACACATACACACACCTACACACACACACACACACACACACACACACACACACACACACACACACCACCTTTTTGAGACAGGGTCTCACTGTGTTGCCCAGACTGGTTGGTACCAAACTCCTGTCTTTACCTTCCTGAGCAGTGCTATGCTACTGCATCTAGTTCCCCCAAGGGTTTTTTGTTTGTTTTGTTTATTCTTTTTTTTAATGGGCTTTTTTTTTTTAAACATATTTTTTATTACATATATAATGTTCTGCCTGCAGGCCAGAAGAGGGCGCCAGATCTCATGATAGATGGTTGTGAGCCACTATGTGGTTGCTGGGAATTGAGTAGTCAGCGCTCTTAACCTCTGAGCCATCTCTCCAGCCCCTGTTTTGTTTATTCTTGTTTTGTTTTTTTTTTTTTTTTTTTGAGACAGTTTCTCTGTGTAGCCTTGCCTGTCCTGAAACTCACTCTGTAAACCAGGCTGGCCCCAAACTCACAGAGATCTGCCTGCCTCTGCCTCCCAAGTGCTGGGACTAGATGCGTGCACCACCACCACCTGGCTCCCCTAAGGGTTTTAAATCAGATATAATCACATGCTTGCCTGGGGAAGTAAAGAAAAACACACTGGGAAGGAATAAAAAGATTGAGAAACAGAGCACTATAAAGAAGCAAATCCAGGGACCGCCTAGTCTCAGTCTCTAACCCACCACCATTAGTCTAGGAAACACTGTGTCCTCAGGGACTGGTAGTCACTGTGAAAATCAGATTCATTGACTATGACGTGGGAAGTCAGAAGACGATGGAGCAATGCTTGCAAAATTCAAATATAGTCTACACAACTGCCAACCTATTCATCTCTAACCAGATAGACTACCAAGCAGGCTTGCAAATAAAGATACATATAGGATCTTAAAAATGCACTTTTCAGGTGCCCTTTTCTGAGAACTTTTGGAGTATTGCGTTTTATTAAAATAAATAATATTATAATAGTCTTTTTTTTTTTTTTTAAAGGACAGGGCTCCAACAAACCAGAAAAATGAAGTGATTTCATGCTGTAAGGAAGCTTCTAGATGCCTGCTGTGAAGCAAGCTGACAGCAATCTGTCTAGGTCTGAAGCAGGAGGGCAAGGGCTCCAGGAGGGAATGACCCAGAAATCCAACATACATACATACATACACACACACACACACACACACACACACACACTCACACACACTCCCAAATAAACATGCATTTATGTGCATAAATACACAAAAGAAAACATTATTTCAAATGTTTGACTGTACGAAAAATAACTTTGTAGTACTAGTGGAGAATTTGGAGATAAAGTCCTGATAAGTACATTCATGATATGTATACTAACTCTAGGAAAATTAGAGTTATACAAAAAGTATGATCATAGTATCATATGGTGTCACTGCATTGTATTTATATGGTAATGAGTACAATTTTGATAAAAATGAAGACTAACACATATATGTATTTTTTTTAAGAGGGTCTTTTGTAGCCCAGGCTAGCCTGAGCTCAAGATTGGACTGAAGATGACACTGAATTCCTACGTCAGCCTCCTGTGATTACAGGCCGAGTGTGGCTACCCTGGGCCACCAGACCCAGTTCTGTTCCAGGCGTTTTGCTCTTAGAAACAAGTCTTTGTCTCTGCCATGCATGTGGGTGAGAGTTTCTGTAGGAGTAGATCTACGTTACTGGGTTTCATAAGCGGGTGTTTTGAGATACTGCCAAACTGCTTCAGGCAATGTAGACTCCCACCAATACTACTCACCAAAGCTTTTGGTCTATGTCATTCTACACTATAACACCACATTGATGAAAGTCTGAAAATAATGTCAAGTGTTTGGGGTTTGTTTGTTTTCATTTTTGTTTTTTCAAGTCAGGGTTTCTCTGTGTAGCCCTGACTGTCCTGCAACTCACTCTGTAGACCAGGCTGTTCTCAAACTCAGAGATTCACCTGCCTCTGCCTCCTGAGTGCTGGGATTAAAGATGCAAGTCACCACTGCCCAGATAGTTTCAAGTATTTGTAAAGGGCACAACATATAACCTCTAAGACATCTCATAATTTTATATTCCCTTCCAGATTTTTTCTTTGGTTTTTTGTTTGTTTGTTTGTTTTGTTTTTTGTTTCTAAAGACAGGGTTTCTCTGGCTGTTCTGGAACTCATTCTGTAGATCAGGATGGCCTACAGTGAGATCAGGTGCCTACCTCTGCCTCCCAAGTCCTGGGATTAAAACTGTGCCCACCACCACCCAGCTCCCTTCCATACTTTTAAGTTTTAATTTTTTTGACCATTTGCTAAGGACTGGGGACCATGTAACTTCTCCCACCTTGCTATCCATTCAGCAGTGCCTTCAAAGAGGTCTGGAGTGATGATGTTGGTTAGAGAGGCCACTGAGGCAGCACAGTACGCGCTTCTGGAAAGACAGAAACAGAGAGAAGCATGTTAGGCTCCAAGAAAAGCCAGGACAAGGCTCAGTTAACTGCTTGGGTAGACTGTTGGCTTTGCTTAGTAAGATGCAGTCACATTCTGTCTTGCTCTTGGCACACAGTCCTTCTTCCTGGGCCTTGGAGAGGTGTGACATTCTGTCTGGATAGAGTTGCTCACACTATGGCTTCAGTAAAGGAACAAGGCATTCTAGTCTCCCTGCCTTCACACAGGCAGACCTCCATCTGAGGAATTAGTGGCCATATCAATTCATCTCAAAAATAAATTGATCCTTTTTTTCAAAGACTTCCAACAGTTGCCACCATCCCATCAAGGTGTTGCTGAGGCTCTCCTCACTCATTCAGACATCTCACCGCTTCAGACCTGGGGCCTCTGTCTCGATGAGGAATGTGTCTGACAGACACACTCCAAAGCAGGCCACCACACTCTCATGGCTGCTTGGGCCACACACATGAGACAGGAATAGACATCCTTACACCTCTAGAGAAAAGAGCTCTGGTTTCAAGCCCTTCATCACATATACATACATAGAAACACACATTTCAGTGAAAAAGTGAGAGCAGGGTTAGGGTGTGCCTCAGTTGGCAAAGTGTTTGCCAAGCATGCACAAACCCCTAGGATTGACCAAACTGGGTATGGTAGTGCATGCCCATAATATCAGCACTCCAGAGGTAGGGGCAGGAGGATCACAAGTTCAAGGTCATCCTCAGAACATAGCAAGTTTGAGGCCAGCTTGGGAAGCATGAGACACTGTTTCAATGGGGGGGGGTAGAAACATATCTTTTGGGTAATTCCGGGGATCTAACCCGAGCTTTGCACATAACATGCATACTCTTCTGCCAAGCTATATTTCTAGCTCCTATCTGAAAATGAACAAATAAAATGTATTCATTTGATTTAACTCTTGTCATTCTATTCTTTCAGCCATAGTTCTTCTCAGAATACTCTTTCATCTTCTTCATCTGTCACGGAACACATAGACTGCTTTTTCAAACACCCAGCATGGAAAGACAAAAATTATTTGTTTTAATTCTATTCACAAATTCCTTTTCTAAGAGCTCAGAAGGAACATAAAAGGGAAGAAAAAAAAAACATTTGGCTTCCATCTTATTCACTGTATAGACTTAACATGAAGCCAAATTTACTGAGGAATCTCTGTGGAAGCCAAGGGCATGACTGTCCTAACAGCACTGTGCCCAGCCAGGCTCCCACTGGCCGAAGGCACCGCAGGGGCATCCAGAGCAGGCAAAGAGGCAATCGTGCCAACACCAGATGTTGTCATTTACCATATGTTAACTTTGAAGGTAGGCTCTAATTTCCTCCAGGCCTTGAGCCTCGCACAAAGGCTCCGCACTGTTTTCAGAGGCTCTTGAACCCTCATGAGGCGGGGAGGAGGGCCTGTGATGTAGTCTGCCTCTCATCAGTGGAGCAAGTGACAGGGGAGGCAGTTGTGGAATCCTGTCCTCTGGGCATGACAAGGCTGGCTGCTACAGTCTTGAAATCAGAGCAGTTGTGATTACTTGAATGAGATCCTCACAAGACTGTGTCTACTAATACTCCTGTGCAGGAGGGGGAAGGGGAGCGGCATCAGACCCTTAATGGAGACTCTGGCCACACCTATTCTGAACCCTGCCCCCCACTAGCTGCATATAATCCTAGCCAGCTGCACTTGGTCCTAGGTGCTAGAGAGTATGTAGCAGGTAGAAGGTTGACTTGGGGTGAGGAGTCCAGTGATGGCAGCTATCATGACTAGATTGTTTCTTTGGTCTGTTATTGCTCTCTGTACATAGGGTGAATAGGAACCCAACCCCCACCCCAGACCAAGGCACACAACAATAATGGCTGAACAGGATAAACAGAACCAAAGATGTGTTGGGGGAGTGCAGTTCCATGGTCTCCGCTAAGGGAAATAGGACTTAGCTGTTTGGAGGGCAGACATTCATTCCATGGGGGGAAGTTTCAATGTGGCCATCTTTCCCCATATAGTATGGACTAGCATGTCGCCATGCTGGAATGGTGAGTGTGTCTTAGCCCCATACTGATACAAGATATGAAACAGAAGTTGTCTGGCCCCAAGAGGGACTGCCAGTACCCTCTAAGTGGCACAGGGTGACATGCTTACTGTAGAACCTAATTGGAAAAAAACTTTTTATAGTGGACAGCAGTTACTAAAGAGACTCATGATTGGTTAAATTGATGGAAGTGCCCTGCCGTGCTCTATACTGTTCTATACTGTTGCTGAGCAAATAACCATACATCTACATGACTCATCCAAGGTTCCGGGAGCACTGCAGAATATAAGGATATAAAATCCAAGAGAAGGGTAAAGTATTGTAGAATCCTGTCCTCTTAGGCATGGCATGACTGTTGCCATGTTAAAATCAGAGCACCTGCGATTACCCACATGACATTCAGAAGATTAAACCTATTAAAGTTCCCTTGTTAGAGAAGGGCGGGGGAGGATCTTTAGACTCCAGCCACTCACTCACTTCTTCCTGACCCCCCACCAGGTACATGCAATCCTGACCCAGTGACATGTGGTTTTAGGGGGTATGAGAGTACACAGGAAGCAGAAGACTGATGGGGGATGGGAAATCCAATGAACATGAACCATCATTCATGCTTTTTTGTGAACCACCAGTCAAGATTTTTGGAAATGCAGCTGCCCAACTCACCCACGCCCTAGAAACAATCCCAGTAAGTTCAATGGCTCAACAAGCCAGGCTTAGATGAAATTTTCTTTGATCTATTGTTGCCCTCTTTATCTGAGATGAACAGAAATAGACTCCCAGGAAAAGCCACACAGCAGATACCCAAACCACCAGTCCGAGATCACAGAGAGACGGGGAAGGAACAAGGTACAACTTTTCATGTAGTTTCTTCCTGTCTCCCAGTATCCAGCATCACAGCTCTCAAGTCTGTCTGCTTTTCTCCTCCCTCACCACTGACACCCAAACCCAAGTCATTATCATCCACCTGGATCAACCATTCATCTCCCTCCTTCCCATCCAGAAACCAGAGGACATTTACTAAAACACCATAACCCATTCACTGCAACCAGAGAACTAACACAGCTCAGATGAGATCATAGCCCTGCCCACTGAAAACCCTCTGTAATGAGCCTGAGCCTCCAGCTCCTTGTTCCCACTGTCTCCCCCCCCCCCCAGGCCTCCCAAAATTCAGTAGCATTCAACCAACTTCTCATCTCTTGAACACATCCTGCTCTGTCACCTGCTGTCTCTCCTCTATCCCCAATGAACACTACACATTCTGTAATTCATTCAGAAAATGAACAAATAAAAACATTTTGTTTTTGTTTTTTGAGATGGGTAGCACTGGCTGTCCTGAAACTCACTCTGTAGACCAGGCTGGCCTCAAACTCAGAGATCCATCTGCCTCTGCCTCCTGCGTGCTGGGATTAAAGGTGTGAGCCACCACTGCCAGGCTGCTTGTTTGTTTTTCTAGTAGTAGGGACTGAACCCGGTTCATAATGTGCCGGTTTGAATAGGAATGTCCCCCATAGACCCATGTGTTTGAATACTTGGTCCATAGTATTAGGAGGTATGGCCTTGTTGGAGTAGATGTGGCTTTGTTAGAGAAAGTGCATCACAAGGAGGCGGGCTCTGAGGTCTCTTCACAGCAATGGAAATCCTAAAACACACACATATATTAGGTAAATACTCTAAACGAAGGCTGCATGTCAATCTCTCATTTTACTTTTTATTTTGAGATAGGGTCTCAAAGCTGCCAGGCTAGCCTTTAATTTGCAATTCTGCTCAGTTTCCTGAGAAGAGTCTGGGATTACAGGCAGGCCCAGCTGTATCGGCTCCTTCCTCATCTGTTAATTGGAGGTTTCTGAGGTACCCAGAAGCCAGCCACACCTGAATAAGGCATTCTTAGAAACCACCAGGAGTTGTTCCAGGCCCCAAAGATCAAGAGATATCTGTCTAACCGGGGACTGAAGTAAACTGCTAGACAGGTGACAAACTGTCCTGTTTCCAATTTTCTCTCTTGACCATTGGCTGGTGCTTCTAGGCAAAGGAAAACCAAAAAGAAGATGGAGTGAAAAACTATGGCATTAATATTCTAGAAGGCAAGCAAGACAAGGAAAGGGGAGGATGCCTACAGGCCTGATCTGTCAAATATTTCATCCACTGTACAAATGACAACTGTGGGCTCAAGGGCGGATGGGTCCCAGGACCACACAGGAGGGGAGGGCTATGGCCAAGTGCACCTTAATGGAACACATCAAATTGACAGCAGAAGTTTCCTTGCATTTGTCTAGTATATGTGAATAAGAACACAGAACAAGATCTGCCTGCCTCTGCCTCTGCCTCTGCCTCTGCCTCTGCCTCTGCCTCTGCCTCTGCCTCTGAAGTGCTGGGACAAAGGCATGTGCCATCACGTCCAGCTGTTCTGAGATAGGGTTTCTCTGTGTAGGTCAGGCAGACCTTGAACTCATTATCCTCCTGCCTCAGCCCCTTGAATGCTCCATATTCTATGAGTTCAACCATGCCCAATTTCAATTTAAATTATTTTTATTTTATTTTGGTTTATTGAGACAGGGTTTCTCTGCGTAGCCCTGGCTGTTCTGGAACTCACTCTGTAGACCAGGCTGTCCTCTGCCTCCTGAGCGCCACCACATCCAGCTCAATTAATTATTAAAAACTAGATTGCCTTGCAAACTGCCACTACTCTCTAACAGCTGTGCGGTCTCTAGCTAAGCTCTGGCTCCACGTCAAGGCAGGTAAGGAAGTCTCCATACCTGGTTCAGACAAAGCAGATTGACAGTAGATCAGGTACCCCAGGAAACAACTGACAGCAAAGGAGTGTGCCCTCTCCTGGAGGGGTGAGGAAGCCTCGTCATCATAGCTTCGTCTATGTCACTTGATGAGATCATCTGAAACCGCAGAATTATCCTCACGCTCTCCTCTCAGGTCCTGGTCACAAACTGCTGGGGGCTTCAGAACAGACCTGTGCTTCCAGAGCTCAGCTGCCGGTGCTTTGTAGGATGCAAAGAAGGTCTGTCTGGTTGGCCTGCTTTCTTTAAAATGGTTTAAAACTTATCACCATGTGGGCACCGTGGCTTAGTTGGCTAAAGTGCCTGTCTAGTGAAAATTGTCATCATGTGTTTGTGAGCTCAGGTGGGGTATGTGCCTACTACAACACATGCGTGGAGGTCAGAGGGCAACTCTGTGTGGTCTGTTCATCCCTTTTACCAGAATCAAACTTAGGTCCTCAAGCTTGTGAGGTAAATGCCTTTACCTGTGAGCCATCTCATCAGTTCCTGGTTGGCTTTTCTGAAGACAGCATGCTAACCATGCCAAAACTCTAACACTTAAGCCAAAAGCTACACAGCTAGCACACCACTGTGAAGAATGTGCTCAAGAATCCACTATGAAGCCAGACACTTGGAGAGGCAGACAGATCTCTATGAGCTCAAGGCTAGCCTGGTCTACATAACAAGTTCCAGGCCAGCCAAGGCTCCACAGTTAGACCCTGGCACAAAACAAAACACATAGACAAAAGAAAGAGATCTTTCTATCGTTCTGATATAAAAGCTTCACCTCCTCCTAAAAGTGTATTTCTCCCAGACTAAATGTTACACAATCTCAGTGACCCACAGCATTACTTGGAGCTAGAGAGATGGCTCAGTGGTTAAGAGCACTGTCTGCTCTTCCAGAGGACCTGGATTCAAGTCCCAGCACCCACATAGCAGCTAACAACTCTCTCTAATTCCAAGATCTGACACCATCACACAGACATACATAGAGGCAAAACACCAATGCAAAATAATAATAATAATAATAATAATAATAATAATAATAATAATAATAATAAATAAAGCTATTTGTTAGTGTAATAAATATATTGCTTTTCTTCTTTTTAATTCATGCAGCCAAAGCTAGCCTTGAACTCATGATGCAGCCAAGGATGACCTTGAACCCCTGATCCTCCTGCCTCCATCTCCCAAGAGTTAAGATCATGATCACAGATCACCATACCTGGCTAGATAGACTTCTTGAGTAAAATACTAGGTTTGAGCCAATGGGTACCAATCAGTTGGCTCAAGTCTACTACACTGCAGTCTACTGGCCCACAACACACTCTGCACCCCACAGAAAAACTCTCATGTGCCTTGGGTGTTCAGCACCCTCAGGATTTCATCAAGTGCAACCAGAAAGTGTTTACAGAGTCAACTCTAGGCTTGCTTTTCCAAGAGAGGTGACAGATTATATTATATATATAATGTAATTACTTACATTAAACTATTTTACACCAAATCTAAAGCACTTGATTTTGTTTTTATCCGACTCATATTTTGACATTTACATAAAAAAAGCTACGAGATGATGACACTGGAGGACCTTAGTACCTTATTAGCAATGACCATGATACTGCGCCAGGAGCACGACATTTGCACATCAGTCTATGGGACAAAGCAGCAACTTGCCATGTTTCTTAGGCTGAGCTGTTCTGAATAGGTACATTCTAGAAGCCATGGATGCACCTGTCCTACTCACCTCACATCCACCTCACCTCCAACGTGCATGAGAAAAGAGCCATCGGGTTGCTTCAGGGAGTATAAGTATTGAAGAAGCTTCTGTCTGAGGGCAGTGGGGAGAGGGCAGAAAAAGGCAACCAATGGTCAGTGCGGTGCAGTAGGCGGAACCCTCCGAGTCTCCACCACTGCCGCCCGCAGCTTTACCTGTTGATGACGTTGTAGGCTTCCTCCGTGCCAATGATGCACAGCGCGTTGACAGCTGCATACGTGGGTGCAAGGTGTGGGTACTGCCCAGGGCCTCCTCCAAAGCCACCATCTGGACTTTGACACAGCTCCAGGAACTGACACACGCTAGGTGCATGGCCAAGAGGAAAGACAAAGTTAGACAATGTTAATTTCCAAACATCAAATTCCTTTGAGAGTCCAACTTTTTCTAATCAGCCCCCTACCTTCAAAGGGGCAAAAAGATTTAACTCTTTACCCAGCTATTGTGGTTTTCTGCACACTCCTCAGTCTTTTATTTAAGCATCTGTCTTATTCCAAGATGAGGCTGGGACAGAACCTTCACAGACCTGGGGAAGAGTCTCATTTTTTTTCAAATGATTTATTTATTATGTATACTGTTCTTATTTATTATGTATACTGTTCTGTGTACATGTCTGCCTGCAGACCAGAAGAGGGCACCAGATCTCATTACAGATGGTTGTGAGTCACCACGTGGTTGCGGGGAATTGAACTCAGGACCTCTGGAACAGCAGCCAGTGCTCTTAACCTCTGAGCCATCTTTCCAGCCCTGCTCCTGTGTGCATTTGTCTTGCGTCTTCATGGCCCATGATGCCAACTGAGGTTGTCAATACAATGAAACCAAACTGACGAGATTGTTCTGCCATTTTTCTAGGTCTTTGAGCTGTACACCAAATCTGGGCTGATCACCACCCCACACTGTAACCTCCTTGTGAGGGAGATTACAGTGATTTTCCCAGCTCTGTGATCAGTGGTGATTTCAAAGTTGCCAAAGTAACCAGGCTTATCACTGCACTTAGAAGCCAGGCAATGGCCATGGAGCACAGCCTGAGAAGGAGCTGGCATTTGCTCCTCTCTTCGGCATTGTTGATGCTTTTAAGAGCATCAGCCAGGACATTCATGGGCACCATTATAGCATCGTGGAAAGACAGTAGAAAGAGCTGGAGTGGCTTTTGTCCGGGCATGTTATCATTGTGGTGAAAAGGTAACTAAGATAGGCAGCACTGACTCACGTCCAAGGAAGGCATCTCAGCCTGTGAATTTTTTGTGCTAAACAACAGAGGCTCCAGTTTCCACACGAAGGACACCAGTTCCTGGAGGGTTTGCTGCTGGGCACGGGTGGCATCAGTTACGTTTTTGTTTTAGGTGAAATCAAGAGAGCCTTTACTTGCACAGGGTCCTCTACAGTTTACAGGAAGGGACCAATTAGGATGGCCCCAGTATAACATCCCCCTACAACTCTCAGATCATAGCCTTCCTATTGGAAAAACCTCTACCCAAGAGGCCTCCTGGCAAGCATGGCTTTCTAGTGGCCAAGGCCTTCTTTCTGGACGGTTTTATACCGTTTATTATTTATTTCCTCCCTTCTTTTCCATTTTAAAATGAGAAATAATTTATTCTTAGTCAAATATGAGTGATCAGGGCCTAGGAACATAGTTTCTGTTTGCCCCCCAAAAAAATATGTTCCAACGTAGAGGTGGGTTACATGACACTTTTAAAATCTCTTGTAAATTGATTTCTTTAAAATTAGCCCACAACATGATGGGTGTTGTTATGGCATTTGTAGCATGTGCATCGTTAGACTTTGTTCTAACCCCTCCTCCCCATCACCCTCCCTGCCGCCTGGTCTCCTCCCTTTGCCTGGCTAGCACCCTTCTGCTTTCCCTTAAGCTCTCTTCCTTCCATCTCAGGCCCTTTCTAGTTTCATGACTTACACACGCATATAAATGTGCCCATAGAGATGAAAAGGCTAATTCCCACAAAGACACATGTCCATTACTCCATCCCCACAGCACATGATCTTTCTTTTTTGAGACTGGGCCCCAAGCCTATACCAGGCTGGCCTCGATCCAGCTACGCAGCTGAGACTGACCTTGAACTTTCTGTTATCTCTGCTTCACGTCCTCAGCACTCAGATCACAGATGTGGTTTATAAAGTGCTGGGGTCAAAGCCCATGCCCTCATGGATACTAGACAACACTCCAACAACTAAACTACATCACCAGACCCGCTCTTTTCATTAATTAATTAAGTGCTTATAAGGTGGGATCTCCCATAGTTCAATGTGGCCACGATCTCAGCAATGTATCTGCTACGGTCTCCCACGTGCTATGATTACAGGTGTGAGCCATCATACACACTCCTTTTGATTTCAGGCTTTCCATTATGTAGACAAGTACAGCAACAGAAAATGATATTGACTGACCCTTTTTTTGTCTTCACGGTTAAAACAATACTCATTCACTTCTACTTATATCTAAATTTTTATTGTGGGGGCAACACAAGGATTGAAACTAGAGGTTATTGTCAGAGAAGGAAGAAAATCTAGAGCACATTTTTAAGAAACATATTTTCATAAGTTGAGTTTGCTCTTTATAGATTTTTCAACCCATGGTCAATTCTTATGGAATATCCAGAAATAAAGAGGTAACAACAATTCCTAACAAAGGCGAGCTGCCAACTGGAAGCTCTCTGCACACAAAAAAGGATTTAACTCATACAAAATTCAGCAGGCAGGCAGGAGAGATGGCTCTGTGATTAAAGGCACGTGTTGCTCTTGCACAGATCCTGGGTTCAATCCCCAGCACCCACACGGCAGCTCACAACTGTCTCCAGTTTCAAGGGATCTGATGGTCTCTTCTGGCCTCCATGGGAACCAAGCAGACACATGGTGCACAGACATACATGTAAGCAAAACACTCATACATGTTAAATAAAAATTAATCTAAAAACAAAAAACTCAACTGCCTGCAGCTAGAAATACATGCTGCGAGGTCCTGGGTTCAAGCCTAGCATCACACAATACTTTTTCCTTTTTTTTTTTTTTTTTTTTTTTTTTTGTTGTTGTTTTTGTTTTGGGTTTTCGTTTTTTGTTTTGTTTTGTTTTGTTTTTCCCCAAGCTTTTAAGTCTATCCTGGAATTCACTCTGTAGACCAGGCTGGCCTCGAACTCACAGAGATCCGCCTGCCTCTGCATCCCAAGAATTGGGGATTAAAGGTGAGCTCCACCAACACCCGGCTCACTTTTTCCTTTCTTTTGGTCTTTTGAGACAGGGTATCTCTTTGACAAAGTGAGACAGGGTCTAACTTTGATCTCAGAATCCTGTCTCAGTACTTTCCAAGTACTTGAATTACACATGTGCCTGTATACCGAGCCACCATAAGTTTGAGGCCAGCCTGAACTATGTAGAAAGTTCAGGCTAGCCTAAGCTACAGAGTAAGACCTTCAAAAACATAACAAAAAAAAGAATAGATACTAAAGAGTCACCTAGTATCCATTTCTTCCCTGGCTCCTAAGATAGAATACTGTAATGGAATGTAACACCCCTGACACAGTAGCCTGTACTTAGGAATGAGTGGGGATCTGAATGTTCCAAACACCTTGCTGTCATGGCTGCACTCCAAGCTCCCTCAGCTGACTGCCATGAGGTTGCCTGAGGAAACTGGAAGTGGGTGGGGCTCCCCTGTGCCTTACCCTTCCATACTCCAGAACGTTCTGACCCTGAGGCTTTCCACCTTGCACCTTCAGGAACAAACACACTGACTGAAGTGACAAGCTGTCATTAGCAGACTTCCTAAGCAACTTTAAAAACCAATGGTACTGTGACCTCTCGGAAAGGGGAGAAACAAAGACCAAAAATTCATCAGCTAATAAAAACTGGCAACTAGGAAGCTCTGTGCAAACACCCAGAGGGATAATGACAAATACTCAACAAAAGCATCCCTTCGATTATGCCACAGATACAGGTCTGGGCAGGGCTGTTTAGGAGGAGCTCTGCATCACTTCTGCATCACAGTTTTCACATCAATGACCAGCAGAGGGGAAACCCTCTTATACACAAAGGATTTACAAACCCAACCATGTGCACCGGAATCAACAGAATAAAAAACACCTGGGCTGACTGAAGCCGAGAAGGCTGGGCTAGTTCCAGGCCAGGTGACTCGGGTACCCACAGACGCTGAGCACCATTCATCTTTGCAGCACAACTGGAATTACTCTGGGGGATGTATTTTTAAAACCCAGTAATTGAGCCATACCTAATACCAACTAAATCAGAATCGTTGAGGGCAGATGAAGGTGGCAGGTTTTCGAATCTCCGTGTGACTCCAAATAGCCTAGATCTCACTATGTAGACTAGGTTGGTCTTGAACTCACAGAGATCAGCCTGCCTCTGCTTTCTAAGTGCTGGTGGTGTGCACTACCATGTCCAGCTTAGTTTTGTTTTGTTCAAAGGGTCTCCTTCTGTGGCCCAGGCTGGCCTGCACCTCACTATACAGAACAACTTAGCCTTGAACTTGCATCAATTCTCCTGCTTTGGTCTCCTGAGTGCTGGGATTACCAGGAACGAACCACCACATTCAGCTGATTCTGCACTTCTAACACATGCCCAGGTCATGACTATGGCACTGGCCTGAGAACCAACCAAACACACTGTAAAGATCAATTAAAAACCCCTGTCGCGTCTAACAAGCAGCCCTAATCACTAGGGGGGTGGGGGGAGTTAAATTTCAGTACAAATTAACTAAAGTAAAAAATCCAGCCCCTCGGTCTCACAATCCACTTTCAAATGCTCAGAAACTGTGCTTTGCTAATGGTGAACACGCTGGATCACACATTTGGCACAGAACCTTCCATTATTGTGGGACGTTCTATCAAACATATTGCTTTTCTGGCATTCAACCGTTACAGAGAATGTAAAACTTGTGAGGAAATCGAGTTCAAGGGAAGGGTATTCTGGCCTTAGTTTTGTTTTTTGGTTTTTTGGGTTTTTTTCCATTTATTATAATGTAAGTATGTATGTGCATGATAGGACACCAGACATGTGGAAGGCAGAGAATAACTCTGTGTACTTGATTCCCTCCTTCCAACTTTACAGGGATTCCGGGGAACAAACTCGGTCATCAAGCTTTTGTGTTAGTTAAACAACCTGCTGAAACATCTCACAGGCCTCTTTGATTTGTCATGGTGGTTTGACTAATAAAAGTCAGAATGAGGGGCTGGAAAGATGGCAGAGCACTGGCTGCTCTTCCAGAGGTCCTGAGTTCCCAGCACCCACACGGTGGCTCACAACCATCTATAATGAGATCTGGTGCCCTCTTCTGGCATGT